TCTAACAAAACCTTGCACAAATAAAAACAATAAAATAAAATTCAAAATGATACAATTCAAAATAGTAGTTCTAAACAAATAGTGCACATTTTAATCTTGTCATCTATCGTTTGGTCTTATGTTGACCTCTTTATTGCAATACTTTTTATCAACCTATGCATTTGATTGGCTTTGAACTGATATGACTATATTTTCTGATGGAATAAACCTAAACAGATGAAATAACAAAACAAGAATTCCAAACCATGTGCCAAACTTCTATATGACCTTTGGAACAATGTTTAACAGGAAACGTTGAGTGCTTTCAAAAAGCTCAGACATCCATGAGTCATGAGATGAGACATTTCAGGAGAATCTACATGGTTTTTTGTAATAGTCTGTTTCTCAAACCATGCACAAGGGAACACTGACCTCCGCCGATGTTCATCAGGACCTTTTGAAAAACTTCAAATGTGTACCTGAGTTCCTTTGGATAGTCTATATTAAAGGCAAAAAGCAGACCCATCAGTAGAGCAATGGCATGAGGAATGTCTTCCACATCAGGCAGGACCACTTGTTCCTCAAGAATGACTGATGTGGCAATGATGTCCTCTCCATCTTTCACCAGCAGAACTCCAATTTTCATTCCCCGAGTGAGTGTGGCTTCCTCGTCAATGGCCTACACAAGTTATAAAGCAAATTACTCACTATGACCCCTTGCAATATTTGGATAATTCTACAGACAACCTTGTTAAAAGGAGACTAGGCGGTTTTGCTTGTTTTTAGTGCCCCCTGGTGTCTGTCTGTGGTCAAAGCAGAATTGAAACGTACTGTATCTCCTCGCTGTGCGTTTGCCCTTTTAAAGGCATACTTTGCAACTTTTTCATATTTCAGAGTTTCCCCCAGCGCTTAGCAGGCTTTGTTTGCCCATCCGCCAGGCTAAGCGTCATGCCCGCCCCCTCTCCCCGACACGAACTGCACAACAGTCCTCCATCAGCTGATACTGGTGAGAAACAGCAGCGGAACGTGTGCAACCCCCCCACCCCCCCTCTCATGGAGAGCTGCAGAACAGAGGGCGGTAAAGGTTGGTTTATGCTTGACGCGTCCGCGAGGTCCGCACGGAAAAGTTGCGTCATTTTAACAACCACGGCCCTCCACCGCATCTCCACACGGCCCAAAACTTCCGCAACGTGCACCTAGGAAATTTTCTAACCACGCGGACGGTCGGACGCGGAAAAACATGGCGGACCGGCAAGAACTAGTATGGCAGAGGTTGGTAAATACAGACATTTGTATGATTCAGCTCTCAGAGATCACCGTGATCAACATGTTGTTAATAATTCTTGGAGAGAAATAGCTCGCACTGTCGGAAAAGACGAGGAGGCTGTTAAAAATGCTGGAATGCCATGTTGTAAACAGTAATTTCTACTTCTACTATGGTGTAGTGTTGGATGCATGCCGTAGAGCTCCATGCTGCCCCCTACAGTTTGGGAGAATATTGGCTCACCGCAGAGACGAGCCGCATGAACCATAAACGCTGCGAGTTGTGAAGCGCGTTCCATCCGCGAGCCGCATCACCAAGCGGAAAGTAAATGCGTCAAGCATAAACCAAGCTTAAGGGTCTGTGTGACATTTCATCACCCCAGCAAAGGTTCATTTTAGCACATACTGGCTCCAGAAAGTGATTTAATAATGTGAAAAAGTTGCATAGTATGGCTTTAAAACCCTTCTTTGTATAACTACATCTAATATCACATCACTACTTTCACTTATAAAGAAATTGTTCACAGATCATTTTTGATACAAATGCTCACCTGAACAGTCTTGAATGCATTTGAAGGATCATCCTTGAGAAAATACGGAAGGCACCGGAAGAACAACTGACCTCTTCCTCAGCATAGAGGACTGAGAAAAAACAAAGACAAAACAACTAATTATAAAGAGAATAACAAATTATTGATATCCTGATTCTTTTATTCTGTTTTCTATATTCAATTGATTAGTTGGACATTTTCACTTCAAATAATTCTTTCAAACCTGTACTGCAATAGAAGTCTGCTACAGAATTTGTGTTGACTGACAGTTTTTCTGTTTTTGTTTTATTGGGAGGGGGATTCGGCAGCCTTTTGCCATTTTTTTAATTCTAAATACTATAGTTTTCGGAATAGAATTTTTCTGATAAGTTTTTCCAACTCTGACCTATCACTATAGGAAAGCTACCGGGGTTGTGGTAATTCTGTGTAGAAACATGCTTTTTTTTTTTTTTTGCTAAATTTACACAGGCAGATTGTTTCAAAGATAATTACAATTTGATGGATTTCCTAAAAGGCATGACTGAATTCTATTCACCCAAAGACAATAACCCAACAAAATGTTAACATAATTTTCTTCTTCTCTATATTAGAAAATAGAAAATACTGTTAAATACTGAAAACTGGTAAAACTGTAAATAATCTCCAAAGGAAATGTTACTAATACTAACAAAAATATGTGAACATTTATTTGCTTACGTCATCAAGACATTTAAGCTGCCTGCTTAGTCCAGCTGATTTCCCACTCTTGGCCTTGAATAGCTCCAGGAACCTTGGCAAATGCTGATCCAGTCCACTGAAGAAAGACTTCTTAGGTCAACAGATGTCAGCTGAGCAAACTGGAAATCACACACACACAGCATAAGTCTAAATTGACCGGTAGTGTCAAAATAAAAGTCTGTTACATAGATGCGATTTATTATCGATGTAGATGATGTCCACGCGTGTAACCTCACGGCTGATTTACCCTCAGCATGGTTCGACAAGTGTTTTTCACGGTTTTAACCCTGGTAGTGGAGAGGCACGGCAGTATACATGACATCAAACAGAGATCTTAAACGTGATGTAAATTGTCTTCTTGGTTTAATGGCGGATGGCATAAACAAACCGAGACATTCGAAGTCTCGTGGGATTGTGATCGCGCGAGTTTAGCGAGGAGAACGGCTGAGATGCTGCGAGATTCCGCTGCTGTTTCGCGCCACAGATGCGCCCATGTGGACCCGGCTTTGAGCATTTAGCATTTAGCTTAATTTTATGAGTATACATTTTCGGGAAAAAGGTTAATTAACGTGTTACTGAGTAAACATTTCCCAAAACAATTTCCCCGCCAACCCTGCTATGCTAACCAACAAACAGCGAGTTACCTACTTCTAACGTTCAAATATAAGATATACTAAGTTGCATTCAACATTAAACTTAGAATTACACGATTTACTTTCAGGTTCAGACCTTTTATTTATTCATTACACTATGACTAATCGAGCTAATGCTATTTAACAACTAACACATTCAACATAAAACCAAAGAAAACTTACCAAAGTGGTGGGCCTCTGTTGAACTGGTTCAGTGTCACCTTTAGATGGACAAAGTAGTTGGTTTTAACCCTAATTGGAGTCGTTAGTCCTTCTGAAGCAAGCCGACAGAACATTGCCCACGTGAGACTGCTTGACTGAGCCCAAACTCCGTGGACTTCTTCTTCCGTCATCATAGGCACATGCGAAACAAACTTTGTGCCACTTACCGCCACCCAGTGGACATACATTTTAATGCTCAAAAGTCAAGTAGACTTGGATAATTTATTTGACTGGACATAAAATTATTGTTTAACATTTTTAGTGTTGTTGAGATGTGTTTAACTAATTATTCTAATTTATCACAACAACAATACAAAAGTCTTGTTATATTAACACGAAATCAAACGTTGGGACAACAAAAAGGGGTAAATGCAATTTACAGTGTAGGCCACGTTAGTGTTAGCTTGTTGTTAGTGCTAGCTAAAGCAGGCTATGGCAGGGTTGTTTACAACAGTTGAAACTCTGTTTTCAACAAATGAGGGAAAACGGGAAACTTCTAAAGTGTTGCTATAACTTTTTGTCTCTACAGGAAGT